GAAGGAAGGAAGGAAGGAAGGAAGGAAGGAAGGAAGGAAGGAAGGAAAATTTCTGTAGTAACTCCTTTCAGAAGAGGCAAATTTTGAAAAATCCAAGAAGAGGGTAGACTCCTGCATTGTCGAATCTACCTTTCAAGTATCCCATGTAATACCGAAGACACTCTTTTCCTCTGATGGCTTTTATTTTCACTTTCTCGTTTGGATGATCCATCTTCCCCTCGACAAGGACTTGGCTTTGATCAGCCGAAGAGGTCACACAGGCCTTCACATCCATCCAAGTAGCCTCGGGTCCTTTCAGCTGGGTGAGGGAGACAAACCACAAGAATAGACACCGAGCAAAAGAGTTATGATGAAAGGAGCATTTCATTTCAAGTTCCAGAACATCTTACCACTTCTCTACTTTCTCGAAAGCTTTGGGAGAAGTTTAGGAACACGACTTGGGCAGAGAGCCTTGTGGTCATCCTGATTTCCCATTCCTGCTTTCAGGATAACTTTGATTTTTACAAAAATCAAAAGCTCATGATGGATCTCATAACAAGAGTCTCCGTGATGCCCCCAGACCATGGCACAAAGGCAACACAGTCAGATATTCAATAAGAGTCCCTTTATCAGCTCCAACTTTGCCCCCAATATCCTGGCTTACCTTCTGGCTGGAGAAAAACTCTCCCAGGAACAGCCTTTGGCTGCAGAGAATTAAGTCCAAAATGTGGTCAACAAAAACTGTAACTATAAGTCAAATCAAGGCAAAATGAGGTAATTAGTCCGGCAGGCCAGGAACAAGAATTCCTGATGTGAAGGCACAGCAATAACTCAACATGGTTGGGAAGATGCCAGGAACACAGACAACCAAGTGAACCTGAGATAAATTCACGTTTGCTCCCAGCAGCTGCTGCACTCAGCATGCATCTCTTTTAAATTCTCTTCCCAGCTGTGGCTAATGAAGGGAATCAGGGCCCTTTCCTTCCCTGTCAAACCATGCAATCCATGTTGCTCCCTTCTCCATTCCTCCCTGTGGTGCCCTAGGATGAAGAGGCGGTGGGCCTGGGTCTTCCTCTGAACTCCCTCTCCCTTGTTCTACCTCTCCCTTGTTCTACCACTCCCCTGCTCTGCCCAGCTGGACTTTGCCCTTCCCCAGTTTCCTCCACAGCCAATGGAGCCGCACTCCCACTCCCTGTCAGCTGTTCATCTTTCTTCTCAGATTCAGACTCCGACAGGGACATGACAGTATCGTGATTCAAATGGATTGTAGATTCTCCTCCAGGGGTGGGATTCAATTTTTTTTTTTACTACCGGTTCTGTGGGCGTGGCTTGGTGGGTGTGGCAGGGGAAGGATACTGTAAAATCTCCAGTCAGAGGTGGTATTTGCCGATTCTCCGAACTACTCAAAATTTCCACTACCGGTTCTCCAGAACTGATCCGAACCTGCTGAATACCACCTCTGTTCTCCTCTTAATGTAAGTATGTGGCTATTTCGATCAGGAGATGGCAGCATATACTCACTCACACGTTGAAAATAAGAACAGTGGAGCACAATTTAGGTGTGGTAAAAAGATGTTTCAGGCAGATATAAGTCAAGCTCCTGACAGCTGTATTTCTCTTGGGAGAGAATCTTTTGCAGTAAAAAATTGTTTGGAACAAGCTGCATTAATATACCTTCACTTCTTTTCTCTGAAACATAAGAGATCTCCTATTAAAATGTCACTCTGCTATATTCCTGCTAGGTTTCCCCACTACAGGTCACCCTCAACTTACAACCAGCATTTCTGTTGCTAAGTGAGACCTTTATGGAGTTTTGCCCCCATTCACGGCCTTTCTGTGCCAACTCGGAAAACTCAAACTGCCCAAGCAGCTGCTGATCCAGTTCTACAGAGGAATCATTGAATCTGTCATCTGCACCTCTATAATTGTCTGGTTTGGCTCTGCAACCCAACAAGACAGACACAGACTTCAGAGGATAATTAGGACTGCCGAAAAAACAATTGCTACCAACCTGCCTTCCATCGAGGGCCTGTATACTGCACGAGTCAAAAAGAGGGCTGTGAAAATATTTACAGACCCCTCACATCCTGGACATGAATTGTTTCAACTCCTTCCCTCAAAACGATGCTATAGAGCCCTGCACACCAGAACAACTAGACACAAGGACAGTTTTTCCTGAACACCATCACTCTGCTAAACAAATAAATTCCTCAACACTGTCCAACTATTTATAAAGTCTGCACTACTATTACTGTTAATCTTCTCATCACTCCTTATCACCCGTACCCTCCCACTTGTGACTGTATGACTGTAACTTTGTCGCTTGTATCCTTACGATTTATATGGGCTGTCTCCTAGTATGATTTGATTGCTTGTTGTACCTATGACTATTATCATAGGTTATCATTATCATATTATCATATGACTATTATCAAGTGTTGTATCTGATGATTCTTGACTCTTGACGAATGTATCTTTTCTTTTATGTACACTGAGAGGACTTGCACCAAAGACAAATTCCTTGTGTGTCCAACCACACTTGGCCAATAAAGAATTCTATTCTGTTCTATTCTATTCTATTCTATCCTTTCTCGCTACAGTGGTTAAGGGAATCACTGCAGCTGTTAAGTTAGTAATACGGTTCTTAAATGAACCTGGCTTCCCCATCGACTTTGCCCGTCAGAAGTTTGCAAAAACGACCCCGAGAGATACTGCAACTGTCATAAATATGAGTCAGTTGCCAAGGGTCAGAAATCTTGATCATGTAGCCTTGGGGATGCTGCAGAAGCCTTAAGTCTGAAAAACGGTCATGAGTCACTTTTTTCCCTGCTGTTGTAACGTCAAATGGTCACCAAATAAGTAAAGTTGAAGCCGACCTGAATTCTACCTAATGGTAGAATGGAATCAAACAGGACCAGCCATATTTGTTCTGACCCAGGCTTCATCAAACTTAATGAAACACAAACTTATTTTAAAAGTAAAACATTTTAATGCGACACTGGGAATTACTTGCATTCCCAGCCAAAACTCATTATACACAGTTCCTCCAGACAAGAGCATGCTTTTCAATGCTGTGGAATGCTGCAAAAAAACCAGGTCCAATTAATTTTAACATAAACTAACCCAACAACCCAGAAAAAAAATGACCAGTTTACAGAACTTCAAGAAGGATTCAGAAATGACTGAACTGCTTTGCTTCCTGCAAAGCTTTTCGTCATTGAGGTCTGACTTTTATCCCTTAAGAGAGGGGCAACCACCTCCCAGCCTTACTCCTGAGTTTCCCCTTCTGCTTCAGCTGCTCTCGCCTTCCAGCAGCTCTGCACATACGTGCACTGGGAACAGGCTCCCCTTGTTCCTCTTCCTCGCTGCTGCCAGATTCTGAAGGCTCCGGAGTCAGGACCCCACTCTCAGATGGTCCTGGCCCCATCTCTGCATCGGATGCAGGACCCTCATCTGAGTCCTCTCCAGACTCCCTGACTGGTCCCCTTTCTTCCTCACTATCCAAATCTGCTACTGTCCGCAGCGGCAACCGGTGAACCACAACAATACCATATTATGCCACCTCCTTTCTTCCTCTAGTCACTTTCTGGGATAATCCAAGACAAGAAGACAGTATTGATGTCTTTTTATGAGGAGAGAGAGAGAGAGAGAGAGAGAGAGAGAGGGAGAGACAGAGAGAGAGACAGAGAGACAGAGAGAGAGAAGTCAGAAAGATGCAGTATTTCCCCTTATTAGTTATCACCAGCTCACTGAAAATTCCGCCGAATAGTTCCTCATTTCCAGCTTGCTGTTGTTCCGTAAAGCCACCGTAATCGTCCCTTCGTTATTTCCAAGGCCGATTTTCCCTTCAGATCGTAAGACGGTGTCCCCCTGGTTTAGCTGGAGTTTGCCAGAGAGACCAATTGCCTAGAAGAGAGGAAGCAAATAGGGTCAGGGATGGTCAGTTTTCAGAAAGAAAAAAAAATGGAGAACAGGAAAGCTCCCGTTGGAACAAAAAAGTTCCAACAGGAAGTTGGAACCCAGAATATACTCAGAAGTACCCCAAAAGGACAATATTTGTAGCTCAGAGTTGAAATGGGGGGGGGGGGGGGCGGCTCTGTGCTTTCTGAGCTTTATTGTTTTCTTGCAGACGTTTCATTACCCAACTAGGGAACATCATCAATGCTAGAAGAGAATGGGAGTTGGCAGAGAGGAGGAGGAGGAGGAGGAGGAGGACTGTGGGGTCCTTGGTGCTCTCTGAGCTTGATTGTTTTCTTGCAGACGTTTCATTACCAAACTAGGGAACATCATCAGAGTTGGTAAGGGATTAGGGGGGTTACTCGTAATGAGATGTCTCCAAGAAAACAACCCAGCTTAGGGAGCACTAAGGATCCCACACATTCAGAAGTTACTAAAAATAGTTTCTGTTTGAAAGCCTTCCAAATCATCCCTCACATTTGGAAGGTCGCACATCCCGAGTCTCATGCTGTAATTCAGCCAAGCTGCATAATCTGTTTCGACTTCTCCCAGAATACGCTGATGGGAACAGGAGGCCAAGAGATTCTTTAAAGTAGCTTCTACCAGTATTTTGTCCCGATGCAACACTCGGCTTTTCTGTGTTAAAAGATAAGGAGGAGGCAGAAATATAATTGTGGCACATACTGAGAAAACAAAAAGGACCTACATTGTTATGTGTGTGCGTTTTTTTTTTCTTTCCAGAAATGTTTAATACGATAATTAAAATTATCAGAACGGCGGCCCAGAATCACATCCTAGCAGAATCCACATACATTTGTTCTGTTTCACTCCGTTATTGTTCCTCTGTCCTTTAAAATTCAAAGCATTGAACCTGGAAAGTCTATGTTTCTTTCTTCATTGTACTTAACTACAATAACTTAGTAAATTTGAGTTAAGACTTATCTGGAAGAGTCCCAAAGACACACAACGAGCTCCATGTTTGAATGGGAACTTAATTGAATTAATTATCTCAGAGAAACATTAGGTAGAGAGATAATCTCTCCTGGCACACTTGTGAAAACACTGTAATCCAATCTTAATTTCACATAATAAAAAAGCCCAGCTGTTAGGTTGACAGTGTCTTGGGTGAAGGTGCCTTTTCTTGTGTTGGCAAGTTGGAAGCCGCAGGTCCCATGATACGCACTCCTCAAATCTATACATGTCAGCAAAACATGGCATGAAAAATACACCAAGATTCAAATTTGGGATTCAAATTTTTTTTACTACCGGTTCTGTGGGCATGGCTTGGTGGGGGTGGCAGGGAAATGATACTGTAAAATCGCCAGTCAGAGGTGGTATTTGCTGGCGCTCTGAACTACTCAAAATTTCCGCTACCGGTTCTCCAGAACTGCAACCCTAACCCTAACCATTTGTCTGAAAGTGGAGAGTTGGACTAGAACAGTGGCCCCCAACCTTTTTTGAACCAGGGACCGGTTTCACGATTATTTATTCTTCCACGGACCGGTACCTGAGTAATGCGAGACTCTACCGCCATCGGGACGGCTCTTCATTCGAAGCCTCTTCGATGAAACTAAGGCACAAGCACCCAAACGCCGCTTTCCAACTGAAAACCCAGAAGCAACCGAAAACCCGGAAGCACCGTCGAAACAAGATGGCAGCGCCCAAGCTTTGTGGCCCAGTAAAAAATGATCCACGGACCAGTACCAGTCTGGGGACCGGTGGTTGGGGACCCCTGGACTAGAGGACATCTAAAGATCTCTTCCAACTCTATCATTCTATTATTCCATCTTCTTGATTTGAGATTTTACAGAAATCTTGCAATTTTGAGTGGAGTTCTGGGGATTTGAGGGTGCACTAATATACCTATACAATATACATAAAGATTGTATAATGACTGTAGTTAGAGGCAATATGGATTCCTGATCTCTGTTTTATATCTGGAGGTGATTCTTTTTCAAGCATTATTATGCCAGTTTTCTTTAGCAAGATTTGTTGAGATGAAAAGAACGATGTTACATGAATCCTACCAAGCGAACTATTTTCCACTTAAGAACAATATATCCTGATGTATATTTGCTAATTTAACAGAATAACAGAGTTGGAAGGGGATTTGGGGGTTTTCTAGTCCCCCTGATCAAGCAGGAAATCCTATACTACTTTAGACAAATGGTTGTCCAATTTCTTCTTAAAAACCTCCAGTGTTGGAGCACATACAACTTCTGAAGGCAGGCTGTTCCACTGGTTAATTGTTCTCTCTGTCAGGAAGTTTCTCCTGAGTTCTTGGTTGCTTCTCTCCTTGATTAATTTCCATCCATTGCTTCTTATCCTGTCTTCAAGTGTTTTGGAGAATAAGTTGACTTCCCTCTTCTTTGTGGCAGCTTCTCAAACATTGGAACACTGCTATCATGTCACCCCTACTTTTTCTTTTCACTAGACTAGATTATTCAGTGGACTTTTCCTAATTGCTTTTTTACAGCTGTCTATTTACATCTCTGAATCTTGGTCAGAGACCTACCATCAAACATTTTGTGTTCAAAGAAGTGCAAAACCCTGCTCTTTTGTCATTTGTCTGATGACAAAAGCAGCTTTCCTTTACCTCATATGTCAGATGTTGTACAACGGTCTTGTCGTCCCATGTCAGATCTAGGTGCTGATTCAACAGAGCTGCTGTCTGCTTAAGGGAGCCACAGGCCCGAAGACTTGCAATTGTTAGGATGTTTTTAAGCTGCCAAAAAAAAAAAAGGAATATAAAACATTATTTACTCTGAGAACTCCAGTTCCAGAGGTTGGAGACCACCCCTTGGCTCACTGGCATTGGAGAAAAATTGAACCAATTCTTTTTGGCATGAAAGAATTCTATTTCTCAAGAGTTCTTCTACCTTCTAGGAGTTCCAGGAGAAAAGGACCATTCTTGAAGTCCACCATAAAGTGAAACCAATTTAAATCCCTTCTCCATTCTGATGGAGCACTCTTTGAATTATGTCCTCTAATTTTAAGATATCAAACTTAAAGATGTGAGCCATAGCGGCACAGTAGTTATAATGCAGGTTGATACTGGCCACTGCCAAGAGTTTGATCCTGACTGGCTCAAAGTTGACTCAGCCTTCCACCCTTCCAAGTCGGAAAAATAAGGACCCAGATTGTTGAGGGCAAGAGGCTGACTCTGTAAACCGGTGAGAGAGGGCTGTGAAGTTTATGTCTGTTATTGTTAGTGCTATCAAACTCAAAGATATACTTAATGCCACATCTGGTTTGGCTCCAAAAATTACATTACTTTCCCCCCACTGTTTATATCTTTTTGTGTCTCTGGTGAAGACGAATAGCTCGCTCAACTGCGCAACCCTGAAATCCTTTCTTGCTGAAAACCAACATTCATACCTGTCCAGAAGAAGCTGTGATACAAGCATCCCAACATGTGTTCCTCACTCTAGACTTGTCTCCAAAAGTGAAGTTCATCCAGGCTGGCTGGCCATGGTTCCAAGCAAGCTGCATCTAAAACCCAGAAGAGATATTTCTCCTGAAAGCTCAAGGTGACAACAATGTCCCCACAATTGGGCTGCAAGAGAGGGATGCTTCAAAGTCATCTGAGACAAACTTCACAACTTATGCATAGACCTGTTAAGGTCTTGGGATTTAAGAGCCGACCAGCAGTGAAGCTGATGCAATATTAGGCGGATGCAATGAAGACGAATCAGCACTGCTCCTTTAAGACTTGGGATGGGCTCTATCACTTTAAGAGGTATTTATAAAAAGGCAGCCATTAGAGGGAATGTTTTCTCTCCTTGTGTCCGGTATTCATTGCAGAGTTCTCCATGTAGAGTTAAGAAGACAGATTGCTTGTAAGGTATTTTGCCTACCATGTATATTTCTGTATATAACTACTGTGTATAAACCACTGTTAAATGTCTAAGTCTCTGTGTGATGTGTTTTGCTCCTGGGTTGTCTCATAATGGTAGTCACACTGCAAACACTCTGGTAGTCACACTGCAAACACTCAAACAGATGTCTCTCTGGTCCCAACTCAAACTCAACCATGACATCGTGTTGGTTGTTGAGCACTGGCTATCATGGAACCTTGTTTCCTGATACAGGTGCTCCTCAGCTTATGACCACAATTGATCCCAAAAGTTCTGTTGTTAAGTGAGACATTTATGAAGTGGGCTTTGCCCCATTTTACGATCTTTCTTGCCTCAGTTGTTAAGTGAATCACTGCAGCTGATAAGTTAGTCACCTGGTTGTTAAGTGAATCTGGCTTTCTCATTGACTTTGCTTGTTCAGAAAGTCGCAAAGAAGCGAACCCATGACCTCTGGACCCAGCAACGGTCATAAGTATGAACCAGTTGCCCAGCATCCGAATTTTGATCACGGGACCATGAGGATGCTGCAAAGGTCGTAAGTGTGAAAAACGGTCATAACAAGTCACTTTTTTTCAGCGCCATTGTAACTTTGAACAGCCACTAAATGGACTGTTGTAAGTCAAGGACTTCCTGTACTGCTCCAGAAAGGCCATCAGCTGCTGTTACTGCATTTCTCAAATCAACCACGCTTTGAAGCATTTTCACCCTTATTTATGGAGAGTTCACTCCATTCAGGACCAAATAATTATCTGGTCAAATTTAAGTGGATCAAGGTTTATAATATTTCATTCCTTGGAAGTAGGAATGGTTCAACTTAATAGGATACATTAATTTTTGGACAAACGAACGCACCGTAGAACACTCGGGAGGTAAGTCTCTGTAATTACCTGTTGTGCGTGTGCTCCTTTGCGGCTTTGGGTCAGGGAGCTGAACTCCACATGTTTCATCGCAAAGTTAAAAGGCTGTGCGACAGTGGCAGAATAAGCCACGCCGGTTCTCCTACGCTTGAGAGAAGACGACGCCAAAACCTGTTGTTATCAGCAGAAAGAGACGTCATAAAACGGAGTAATGGAGCCTTCACTCTTGGCAAACAGGCTAGGAAAGGATTTTGTCCTTTCCATAAATTTTTTACCACCGGTTCTGTGGGTGTGGCTTGGTGGGTGTGGTGTGGCTTGGTGGGCGTGGCAGGGGAATAACTGTAAAATCCCCATTCTTGGGGGAAGGATACTGCAAAATTGCCATTTCCACTAACCTGCTTTCCAGCTCCATTCTCCTGTGCAGGGCAACCCAAGAAGACCCAGCCGATCAGCTGGGACTCGGGAGGCGGAGAATAGATGGGGTTGGTGGGGCCAGTCTGAGGTGGTATTTGCCGGTTCTCCAAACTACTCAAAATTTCTGCTACTGGTTCTCCAGAACTGGTCAGAATCGGCTGAACAACCACCTCTGCTTTTCATGCAGGGTTGGATAACAACAGCTGGATTTTTACCAGAAATGTAAGTTTGGGGGAAACAAGAGTTACTCAAAAGACTAACCTTTATTTTAGATTAAGAGATGAAGGTTGGGAAGTTTTGCTTTTTTTTTTTGTTTACAGAGAAGTCGCCATCTTTCTCACAATTTTACAAGAACGGAACCACCATGACAAGAACACAATCTTGATTTTCCTAGCATAAGTTGGGAGGGTTTTTTTGGGTTTGGTTCTTCATAAGAACTCTAAAATTGATCTAAGGAACAATTAGGCCATTGGTCATCAGGTTATCTTTGACATCCAAGCAACCAACCACGTCCTGCTTAAAAGAAGCCTTGTTTACGCCATTGTCTAATCTAGTGAAAAGAATGGCCGTGTTCCAATATTTGAGGGGCTGCCACAAAGAAGAGAGGGGGGCAATTTATTCTCCAAAGCAGCAGAAGGCAAAAGAAATAATGGATGGAAACCAATCAAAGAGAGAAGCATCTTAGAACTAAGAAGAGATTTCCTAACAGTGAGGACAAATAACCAGTGGAATGGCTTTGCCTCTGGAAGTTGTGGGGGCTCCATCACTGGAGGTTTTTAAGAAGAGACCGGACAGCCATTTTGTCTGAAGTGGTATAGAGTCTCCTGCTCAAGCAGGGTTGGACTAGAAGACCTCCAAGGCCCCTTCCAACTCTGTTATTCTGTGTTTCTAGGTTTGTTCTTTGGAAAATGTTACTATATACATTTTTTATATACTAACTAAAATGTATATACATTTTTTATGCATAATATACATTTTTTCCCCCTAACCCTTGGGGTTCACCTGCGACGGAGGCTGCCGAGTCATGCAAACTAAAACCCGGATCAAAGAAAGTGTGTTTTACCTGCTGGCCATCCACCTTGAACTGAAGCAGCCTTTCACAAAGGGTACGACTCTTTTCTGAAATTAAATCCACTTCTGCCCTTGCAGGAATGTCAGACTTAATGGCCCCTTTGATGTGTTGTTCCAGGAGCGCATGAAATTCTCGCCTGGTCTGCAGGAAGGAGGATCAAAGAAAATCAAGAGTGCCGGGGAACAGAAACTGGACTTACACCAGTTCATTGAAGTTACGGTGGCAGTGAAAAAAGGGACTTATGTCTGTTTTTCACACCCTTGTAACTTCGAACAGTCGCTAAATGAATGATCATAAGGTGAGGACTACCTTTTTGTGTGTGTGGGGGGGTCTTTTAATGACCCTGTAATCCCTTCCATCGGAGTGGAGTCAGAGCAACAGAATGGAGAGACGCCCTTCCTGGCCAGACGCCCTTACTGTCACCAATGCAAAGTTCGCAGCAAATATTTTCATATTGTGCCCAGAGAAATATCTGCCTCTACCTAGGATCGAACTCATAGCCTCCTGATTGTGAGGAGAGAACTCCACTTCTAGGCCACTGCACCACTCAAGGTGAGGATTACCTACAGCGGTGGTGGCTAACCTTTTTGGGCTTCTGTGGAAAAAATTGTGCATGCGCTGGCACTCGCGGTCTCACATGCCAGCACCCAGAAGGGAATGCCCTCCCCCATGTCTCCTGCATATGCTCGCACAATCCCCCGCATGCCACCCCTTACCTGCACTGTGCCTCACAGCTGATTTTCGGCCAGTTTAAGGCTTTTTCAGCCTCCCAGAGGCTTGAAAAAAAACCTCTGCAGGCTTTTTAGGATGAATAATAGGCCTGTTTTGTCACTTCCGGTTACAGGAAGTGATGAAACGGGCCTATTATTCAGCCTAAAAAGCCTGCAGAGGTTTTTTTCAAGCCTCGGGGGTGGGGAACAAAAATCAGCTGTGAGGTGCATGCATGCGCAGTGAGGTAAATTTGCTTGCGGCTCACATGCCAGCACTAATAGCTCTGCGTGCCACCATAGGTTTGTCATCACGGACCTACAGTATAGCAGAGCTGAAAAGATTTATTTGGAGAAATCAATCTGCGGTGAAAGGCTGGCGAGAAAAATTAGATATTTTTCCTTTCATCTTTTACTGAGAATAGGGTCGCTCATTAGGTTACAGATTATTGTTGTTGTTAATCATCGCACAGTCAGCCAGATGTTCAGACTGGATTTGGCATTTTTGTCTACCTCTCAAGTCCTTTCCAAAGACTAAGGATAGGCAGATCTGGATTATTATATCTCTGTTGTTTTGCATTTACACTTCTATACCAAGGACAAATTCCTTGGGTGTCTAACTTCCTTGGTCAAATAAAATATATATATTAGCATGTTAGCATTACATAAGGCTATCCAGCTCACTGAAAGCTTTGATTTTCTCTAGCAAATAAAAAATGACAATTGAAACAATAGCCCAACACTCCATGTTCAAAAGTCATTCGGTGTGGCCAATTACTTACAGCGGTGCTTTTTAAAAGGAGGAATGCCGAGACCGTGTTTTCACCAACAGCAAGCACCACTTGAGAATCAAGGTTGATCTTATCTTTTAACACATGCCCCGATCCATTCATTTTTGTTGGAATTCCAAGATCCTGAAATTTAAATGAAATATTCAACACGGCAGCACCTAAGCATGGCTATGATTTAACAGTAGCTAAATGTGCTCCCACGAATGAAGACGAATATAAGTGTCCCCGGATAATGCTGCAGAGTCAAATCTGGGTCGGTCACCGGTCCCAGAAGTTTTGTCTTCCGAGCTTTGGGACTCATGCAGGAGCCCATTTTCAGGAAACTAAGACTACTAAGATTGTTGGACGAGTGGGTACAAAAACAGCCAGGGAAGCAGAGGTGGTATTCAGCAGGTTCGGACCAGTTCTGGAGAACCGGTAGCAGAAATTTTGAGTAGTTCAGAGAACTGGCCAAGACCACCTCTGACTGGTCCCGATCCTAACCCCATCTCTTCTCTGCCTCCTGAGTCTCAGCTGATCGGCTGGGTCTCCTTTGGTTGCTCTGCATAGGAGAAGGGAGCTGGAAATCAGGTTAGTGGGGTGGGGAGAGAATGGGGATTTTGCAGTATCCTTCCCCTGGATACGCCCACTAAGCCACGCCCACCAAGTCACACCATGCCCACCAAGCCACACCCACAGAACCATTAGTAAAAAGTTTTTGAATCCCACCGCTGATTTACATGCTTGGCAGGAGCTGGGGCAAGAATGGGGGTTCACCCTGTCACCCTGTACTTGGGTCTTGAATTGCCAACCTTCTGGTCAACAAACCCAGCCTCTTAACCAGTAGGCCACTGTGCCCCCTTTAAACAAAGGAGACATCAAAGTAGATGTTTGACACCAAGTCCTTTCCCATGGTGGGATGTCTGCCCCACGTAATAGACCAGGATGATTAAAGCTGTTGTTGTCCCTCTGGCCTCGACGACACCACCTGTATCGCTCTGTCAAGGTCACCTTCCTTGCTCTGTACGCTGGCCAGGTTTATACCTGTATCATTTTGCAAGAGTTCTCCATCGCTGCTTGCCACTGGCATCGGTTTCCTGCTTCCATCTCCAAGTTGGCTCGAAGTTGGCAAAGGCCAGATTTCACTTCCAAGTTTATAGCACGCTCGGGTCGTTTCCCACAATGGACAATCAGCTTATTTTCTTGGGGGATCCTGTTGAAGAATGAAAACCCATGCCTCAACTCCATTTCTAAAATAAACTTTGGCTGGCACTTAGCGCTTACTGCGAAGGAGGCCTCTTGATCTTCCACCTGGAGGCTATTAAAGAATTCTAGCTGATCACCATCCTTCAGAAGGGATCCATTTAATTGTGCGTGGTTTGGGAAGCCTCGATCCTACCATGAGACACAAAACATAAACAAGCATGAAGGCAATCCATTTCTAAACTTGGTGCTGGATGAGATAGAATACAGAATAACAGAGTTGGAAGGGACCTTGGAGGTCTTCTAGTCCAACCCCCTGCCTAGGCAGGAAACCCTACACCACTTCAGACAATTTGTTGTCCAACATCTTCTTAAAAACCTCCAGTGTTGGAGCATGCACAGCTTCTGGAGGCAAGCAGTTCCACTGGTTAATTGTTCTAATACTCAGGAAATTTCTCCTTAGTTCTAGGTTGGTTTTCTCTTGATTAGTTTTCATCCGTTGCTTCTTGTCCTGCCTTCAGGTGCTTTGGAGAATAGCCTGACTCCCTCTTCTTTGGGGCAGCCCCTGAGTTATTGGAACACTCTTATCATATCATCCATTGTCCTTCTTTTCAATAGACTAGACATACACAATTCTTTGGCCTGAACTGCATCCTCAAGTCATAACTAAATCCCCACCCTCAAATTTCTTATAGACTTCTGCCAAGCAGCTATGGTAAGACCAGATCACCGATAGCCAGGAATTCTAGAATCTGTGACTCCAGCACACCTAGAACATACAAAGCCGGGGAAGACTGATTTCAAGAATTAAGGAGGAAGAAGCAAAAATTACCTGCAAAGCTTTACAGGCCACCTCCATCTCCAGGGTCCATTCCATGTTGGCTTTGGGTTGGATTTCTCCTTGTATCTCCAGCTTGCAACTGTCCACATGGAGCACCAGAAGTCCTTCCACACCAGCATTACCCGTCATGATGAGGAGAATCACGTTTTTGCGAGGCAGTCCCAGATCTTGGAGATAGGGCAGGGAGTGGTCCAGAATCCCTCGCACAACATACTTGTCTTTTTCCAATTTCATATCAGCTGCTGTGCCATTCCATTGGAGGAACATTGTTAAATTTGCTTGGTGAGTCTTGCTGAAAAACGATCCTCCAGAAACAAAATTCTGGGGTAATGCTGGGTTCTAGTAGATCCAAGAGGGAAAAAAAAAAGATATTTTCTTTTTAGTGAATCATTACTTCATATGATTTTATCAATATATTCATAAAAGCCCATCATCGGCCTTTTCCAATCTAACACATGCCAAATAAGTTCCAGTCTTAATATTAAGAAATTATATATAAGTGTTGTAATATTGCAAGGTGGTCTTGGTGATGCTGGCTTTTAGCTCATTGCTTTTATTATTGACATGGTTGTAATTCTTACTGATGATATTTTATAGTATGGGTTGAGATAATGCGATTGGCCCCAAGTCACCCAGCTGTCTTGCATGCCTAAGGTGGGACTAGAACTCCTGCTTGGATGGTGGGTTTGACTAGATGACCTACAAGATCCCTTCCAACTCTGATTATCTGTAATCTGAACTCACCATCTCCTGACGATTGGCCCAAAGTCACCCGGCTGGCTTGCATGGCTAAGGCGGGAATAGAACTCAGGATCTCCCAGTTTCTAACTCGGTGCCTTAATCACTGGACCAAAATGCCTATAATTATAATTTATTAATAAATACCCAATTTATACCGTTAGATTTGCTACCATATTGCTTTCTCACGGACTGTGTGAGACCTCTCTCATCTAGCCTCCTGAGTTTGAGAAACTCTTAGAAGAAACTCTTGCACAATCACCTCCAAAGCGCCAGGTTTGTTCAGAAAAGTCACCCTCCAGTCTGCAGTTGTCCCTCCAGCCTCATCACTCAGTTCCCCGTGGCCCGTCCACTTGCCATTTCCCAGGGAGATTTCTAGAAAGACTCTGTGTGGATCACCTCTCGTGATGGCCATTTTCACCCTATTCTCTTGGGCGAGGCCCAGAGATGTAAGATAAGGCCAAGCGTGACTGAAGCTGGTTTCCAGAACGTACTCCAAGTTGCACGCTGTGCGGATACCCGGTGGAGCAAAACTGCTATTCGAAAAGATTTCCCTTATTACACCAGGTCCAGAGTTGTTAGCCACATCTGGTCCACAGAGCAATGTTCCTAGTGATGCCTACAAGAGAAAGGGATCAAAATGTCACCTTCGTTTTTTTCCAGTCTAAACAAATACAAAAATTGCATGTGGGAGCCAGTTAGTCTATTATCTATCTCTGAGCCTAAGTGAGACTATTTTCATGGTCAGTAAGTAACCCTCCATTCATACGGTCGTTGTCCAAACTTGGAGAAATAAATCTTGTACCGCTAAAGAATGATTTGCCAACTGGGTTTGAAGGGCTTCTGGATGCAACTTCTCAACTCCAAATAGGACACTAATCTTCTGGTTGCCCCCTTGAAGATTCACAGTTACTCCCTGGTAAGTATCATTGTGACCATATATGGTCTTGAGGCTACTTTCTGTGGGAAGTCCTAGAGAAGACAATGGAAAAGGAGACAGTTTAGTGGAGAGCTCAGCTTCCTGGCATGAAGGTTTTTCTGAACCAACACACAAAAGGTCAAGCATCCTTGTGGATAAGAACGGAGCAAAAAGTCCAATCCTGATGGATTAATCTTTAAATTCTAGGTAGTATGAATTCAAGTGACTTTCCCAAAGATTCTAAAACAAAGGAGCAAACCATTCAATCTTCCTTACCTATTGCATAGAAGTTGCTGAGGTTGTGTGTGAGAGCGCCTGTGAATCCAACCTTGCTGTGAAGGAAAATGTTTGCAAGGTCAACACAAGGACTTCTTGTGTTCTTCAGGGCCTGGGCTTCATCTCTTTGGATTATTCGTTTTAGTTCCAGGGAGCCTTTCAGTTTTCCCTGAGCTAAGAAGATTTCGCGGCCATCCTGGGCCACGGCCACCATCACGCTATGGAAGCTTTCATTCCCACATAGACATTCACTTCGGACATGAATGGAAAAAACAGATCCATTTACTGCAACGGTCACAAGGCCTGTTAGACAGAAGTAAGGAAATCGGGGCTGAATCCGGATTGTGTGAATCAAGATTAGAGCTCTGCCAAAGTGGCCAGAGAAATTATAAGTCTTTGCTGATACTCTTTGGATTACAACCATTCATTTAGCAAACATATAAAGGACAGTTGCTGGAATTCAGTATGTCTAGTTTGATGAAAAGAAAGACTAGGGAGCGTCACGATAGCCGTGTTCCAATATCTTAGGGGCTGCCACAAAGAAGACAGGATCAATCTATTCTCCAAAGCACCTGAAGGCAGGAGAAGAAGCAATGGGTGGAAACTAACCAAGGAGAGAAGCAACCTAGAACTAAGGAGATTTTTCCTGACAGCGAGAACAGTTAACCAGTGGAACTGCTTGCCTCCAGAAGCTGTGAATGCTCCAACACTGGAAGCTTTTAAGAAGATGTTGGATAACAAATTGTCTGAAGTGGTGTAGGGTTTCCTGCCTAGGCAGGGGGTTGGACTAGAAGACCTCCAAGGTCACTTCCAACTCTATTATTCTATTCTATTCTATTCTATTCTATTCTATTCTATTCTATTCTA